TTCTTTTCCATAAAAAGAAGGAAATATAGACCCCATATCCATATACGGTACATACAACATCCCAACCCAGCTTCCATCCGGACAAGGTGGTCCATGCTCACTTCCTCTCTGCCACAGGACCCGTATTATTTTCTCCCTTTAATATCTCAGCAGGAGCCATCTTCGCACCATTCACACCAGCGCCGAGTACAGGCCTGTCATAATTCAACCCCAGAGCCTTCCAAGTCGGTTGCCACTCCTCTTTACCCTCCAGCAACCTCTTCGCCTGTTGAGCTATAGTGTCGCGCCTCTTCTGTGGCATGGGTTTGTTTTTCGCGTCTGGCGCAATGCTCTCGGAGGCATCCTCTTGAAGCTTCTTGGCTTCAAAATATCGATCCTTTTCCCATCTGTCACGGAGGAAATAAATAAAAGATTGTTAGTCAGCGCCGATCTGCTGGTCGACATAGTAAGACATAACAACAAATGCAACAAAAAGGTAGAGGACAGAACTAAGGACATACGGCTTATAATCCTCTGGCTCCTCCGGCCACACGAAGGGCTCCGTCATTTCCACCGTCATCTTCTTCCTAGCCATGGGTCTTCGCCATTTGCCATACCCTTCCTTCCCGCAAGGCTTCTCACGTGTGATTCTCTGTTGTTCGACATAGCTGCGTACTTTCAGGACATCTACGCCGTACGCCTGTTTCAGGTAGTCTTTAATGTCCAGTTTGTTGAAGGTCAGCGGCACCCAAAAGGAGGCATATCTGGGTGGGAGGAATGGGGTACGGATGAGTGTAATGACAAAGTCGGGTCTGGGGTTTTTTTGCGTATTGCCAGCAGAGGTTAGCTAGACATCTCTAAGACTTTGACTTATATAGGTCGTCCACAAATTGAGTAATTGGGAAAGCATTCGAATAGGGGAATAGGAATAAATAACGGCGGGTGCCCGGGTAAAGGGGGGCGGGTTGCGCTCATACAGATATATTTGCTTCCGTTGTTCATGGGGAATGGGTCGTAGGTATGGGCGGGCCTCGCGGAGGCGCAACAGCCTTTCTGCGACTTTTTTGCGCATGGTGACCTATCTCATTGATATATGGATATAGCGGGGGATAAACGACAAATCGAGTCGACAAAGAGTATCAATTGAATTATTTTCGGTGGTTTGTTGGACGCCAGGCAAAGAACGAGTTCGGAAATGGTAAAAAAAATACATCATTGGCGCGTAAGGGTGCCCGTATAAATTTCTGCTGCAACAATGCGGATAAGTTCTATCAGAAGAAACGAAGCATGCGAAATACAGAAGACATTCTTGCATGACATGTAAAGCAAAGACTATATGTAAGTGTGATCATCTCATTAGATTATAGATGCGAATCGTTAAAATTTATCCATTATGCACGCCCTCTGTAAAGCTTCAACACCACCACCATTATCAACGCCATAAGTGAGAACAAGAGCGTAAATCATAAATACTAGTATATTCATGCAGCTTGCAGTTTAGAGTCAGATATTCGGAGCTGCTCAATGCCGATTCCCTTTGTAGATTCCGATTCAGAAATCTTAGGATGCTCTACCTCAGATTTCTTCTGTGTCGTGTTTCCAAAAGCATCCACTTCGTCACCTAAAGGGACTCCGTCATCTTCATTCTCTCCCTCCTCCTCGGAATCCTCTTCATTTCCTTCCTCATCAGATCGCAGATCATCACGCTCACCATTTTCACCTCCGTCTCCGTCGACACCCATCTCCTTCATGTATGCCTCCAACTCCCTTGCCATCTTCCTCGAGAAACCCGATGCTTCGACTTCAACATCCAGCCTCGCACCCCCTTTCTTCGTCCCCACTAGCTTCTTCGCGTCTTTAAAAAATGGCCCTTTCTCATCACTCGCAAATCCAAACCTCCGCTCAAAATACCTTTTGATGCATTGCACATCTCTGTCAAAGTACATTTCCGCATTAGGATGATCCACAGAGACCATCTGCGGGAAGTCGATAAGGATGGGTATCAGATTGCTATTCTCCCCTTCAGCACCATAACCTCCCTCCTTTCTCTTGCCCCTTGCCGTCTCAGACCCAACGACCTCCTCCTTAATCAAAATATTAAACTCGTTAAAATCACCATGTATAAGCCCCACCCCGGCCAACCGTATAATCATCTCCATAAGCTCCGAATAAAGCCTGCCAGGATCCGGAACCGAAGAAATCTGCCGGAGAGGGAACGCGTCGATCAAACTCATAACAATCGTATGTCTGTTCTGCGCGATGGGTTCGGGGACCGGAAACCCATGCTCGTGTAGCGCTTTCATAAAGGCAAACTCCTTCATCGCTGCGAGGCGCGACATGTACATCCATGACGCGGAGCTGCGGTGGCGTAGTAGTCGCGGTTGGTCTTGACCGTGCGGAACGAGATGCGGCCCAACCGGTGGATTTTGAGGATATGTTGTTTACCGTCTGAATTGGCGACCACGATGATGTCGGATTCTTTGCCGACG